AAAATAAAGATAGCCTCGGAAGTGTTTGGAGCTCAATTAAGAATATGGAAAAATAGATTAAAATGTTGGGCGGAAGAAATAAACTGTGCAATGGAGGATAAAACCTCTGGCATCTGATAAACTGGAAGATAGGAGAGATTATAAAAGGAGAAGAACTACTGTCAGGAAGATGACAAGGCAAAGTGAGAACAGGTAATTAAAAGAATATAAAGACGTATCACTGGCACACAAAGATTCAGATTTAAATGGTTTGACTCACTCAAATCAGGACACAGAGACACGGTAAGAACAGATCCAATCTCCCCACAAAAGTTGACTAAATATTACAAACAGTTATTAAAAATGGAAGTTAACACTGAGATAGAGCCGAAAATGATAGAGAAAGTAAATAACTTTTAACAAAATGAAAAGTGAAATTAACAAATCCAAAAAACAGGTGAAGCGAATTAATGGATATCATAAATATGGAGCTGATAAAATATTGTGAAAGAAATTTAAAACTGGATTGTTGCACTTATTTAATATGTGAACAAGCGGTAACATATTCGACCAATGGAATATTCATAGGAAGGGCCCTAAATATAAATGCTCAAATTATCGAGAAATCGCACTAGTGTGCTGCATAGTATGCTAATATTGTAAGGGATAAACGTGGGGAATTTATAGATCCGATCCTAGAGGAAGAACAATTTGGATTTTGCCGAGGCAAATCTACCACGGATGCCATCTTTACTTTACAACAGATAATAGAGGAAAGAAAAGAGATTACTTTACCCACATATATTTAATTCTTCAGACTACGAGAAAGCATACGATAGAGTGGACAGAGACAAAATTATTCGCAAAACTGGAAGCAAGAAATTTAATAAATCCCATACAATTCTCATACAAAGAGACTTATACCGCAGTTAAATTAGGCGAAGCAATACATGATAAAATTAGAACAAACTTGGGTCATAGACAAGGCTGTAGACTGTCCCCTCTACTTTTCTAATATACACATTTACCAAGTGTTGTAACTGTGGAAACAAAGAAAACCAAAAGGAACTGTAATAAATCAAAACAAAAATATTGGAACTTTTTTGGGTATTTTTTTTAAAAATATTCAGAAGTTCTCAACTGCACACAACTTCTGGAAAAGGAACAAGATTTTCTCAAAACTTATAAATAACTAAGCAGACAAATGTAATCATCATAAGTAAGAAGAATATATAGATACATAAAATGTAATTAAAATGAAAGGGGGAGAAGATCGAGACGCAAGTGTAAAGTAAAGAGATGACCACGCAAAAAGAAAGTTAAATATATTAATATTTATGTAAAAAGTAAGTGTATGAAGTAATGAAAATTAATAAATTATAAAATGTAATAAGTGTAAAAGAGAATGAATAAAGAGAAGAAAAACAAGACACAGATAAACGAGAAGAAAGTACGTAAGAAACTCAGATAGTGAGAGAAAGAAAGAAGTTAAGAAAGTGAAAAAAAAGAAAGATAGGGGAAAACTAAGGAC